CATACAACACAACACACAACACACAACACACACAACACATATACACAAACAACACACACCTCACACATACCATACACACACAACACACACACATACAACACACACACACAACATACACATAACACACTACACACACACCACACACACACATATGCACACACACACACACACACACACACACATATACGTACACACACGATGCACTTTCAGATCTTCTGTGGCTCCTGCCATGAGCCAGGGATTTGCTTGAATCCATTATCACCCTTTGGAGCTATAGTTCCTTTTCTGGACCCCTAAGAGCTAACTTTTCATCAGACATATATAACAGACTTCTTTAAAATCTTTTCTGTTCTGGAACCTTTGATCAATAGATACTCTCTATACTTTCATTAAAGTTATGAAAACACAATTGATTTTTCCCTGACCCAAACTTAGGATCCACCTGAGTGACTATGTGTTGATTATTCTTAGGAAATATGTACTATACAGGATATAGTGAAGACATATTTCAAATGAATAAACTTGCAATGTATATTTGAATGAAAAACACGTCCAACTACACTTTCTGGACAAAGTTTCTTTTAAAAGATTACAAAACCTCAAGACAAAATTCTCCAGTGTCCAGTGGTTGAACAATCTTCAGAGAGAAATAATGAGGCAAAGTCTTCTGCCTGGATTTTGACTTACTCTGCTTTTCTTTTAGCACTAAATTTAGTGATAAATCATCATTTGACATTCTCTTTAGATATCACTGTTTTCACCTGATGAGTTCTTAGTTCCTTTATATTTCTTTAATTATTTGTTTAAATTTCTAAAAGTTTTGTTTAGATTATTTTATTTACTTGTGCATGAATGTATATGGACATATTGTGCAGATGTTGTTGTAGTAATTATTTAAAACCGGCCTCTGGCTCAAGCCGATTATCTAAGCTGTGGCAGCTCTGCCTATCCCAGCTACCATGTTTCCCTGCCTGAGGCCACATGTGAGCTGCAGCTAGAACCGCCATCCATGCGGCCCAGTAAGAGAATGAGACTCTAATTCTTATAGATTAATCAAAGACTTTATATGCTTGATAGTGATTAATAACAAGATGCCCATACAAAGAGAGTTGTATCCCAATTAACTAACCTAATTATAAATTTATAAGTTGTTCCCCACGAGTGCTCTCCATACCTGTGTGGTTCTCCATCCTCCTACATCTCTGTCCTCTCTAGCTCCTCCTCTTCCTTTTTTCTCTTCCTCTCCCAACTCCTCCTCTTCCTTTCCTTACTCCTCCCACCTTAGCTCCTCCTACAGATGTCTTTGAAGGTCGGAAGGTGCCAGACTCCCTGGAGGTTAGAGTTAATTGTGATTGTGACTATTTACATTTAGGTATTGGGGACTGCTCTAAGAGTGGTCTCCTCCAAGAGTGCAAGTGTTTTTAACTGCTGAGCCATCTTTGTAGCCCCTCATCTCATAATTTTTAAAGAAAATTGATCACTACATTTTCATTTCTGTCTATTCTTAATGATTTGTCCAATGAAACACTAACTGGGGAAATGGGTTTAGCACAAAAAAAGACCTCATTAAACCTTCCCATTGTATGCAATTTCTAGATATCTTGAGTTAATATAGGACTTATATTTCATTGAGGAGGGTTTCCTTTGTCTGGACACGAGTGAGCAGTGTGCTTCAAGTACGGTGAGGTAGACATTGTTGCTTCTGTTTTATGGCTCTTTTCTTCTTCTGTTCTCAGTAGCTCTGTTCTAAAGCATGTAGATGAAAATGAATTACGACTTCTGTCCATTTCACAATGGTCTCAGAGGGTCCACTATAATTTGCACATAATTATAGTATCTGAAGCCACATATATCTTCTCCCAGTGGTTTCATGGCCGAACTTCGGTGTCCTGTATGACCTCTCATAGTCTCAGTGTGATGCAGATGGGCCAGTCTCCGAGGTGGCTTAAGCCTGATTCCAGTTTAAGCACCAAACAGGTAGCTTGGAAGGTTATATTCCACATAAACAAATCTAAAGATTTAGCATCTCCAATAAAATAACCTTCCTGTGACAGGATATTTGTTAGTCCACATAGATGGCTTGTGGCTAGTGCTTGAGTATCATCCTTAGCCTGGATCTGAACAGTAGCACCTGCCAGTTCTCATGTTTAACCTCGTGAGACTCCTACGCTGAAGCAGCTCTCAGAGTAGAGAGATACTTGACTTCAGAGATTGATGCCACTGTATACAGTAATGAATAGAAGAGTCAACTGATCCCCTCCCATCACAGGCAATTTTATTTTAATTAATTTAGTTCTAAAACTCTCAAAAATAATCCAGTTTTTCATTACTGTTTCATTAGGTTCTCTATAAAGATGAGAGAGATTCATATCAGGGGATATTATATTCAAGCAGTTTAGAGAAATATTAAATGAACTATTGAAAGAATTTTAAAAGACTTAATGATGAAGTGGATTCCTTGAACAAAGCTCACAGAATTGTCAACATGTGAATCAGTTCACTCTGCAGTTTTCTGAGCCTCTGAATCATACTTAGTGTGGATCCCAGGTTTTCTGTGGTGCATCCCCCTGGAACAGAGCACCAGGGGTCAGGGACCTCTCAGGTGCTTTAGTATATTATACTATTTGCTTATTGTGTTCACCTTTGCAAATTGAAGGCTTAATTTTTAAGGTAGGCTACCTGTGACAGGTCATGTAGCATGATGGATTGCAATCTACTGACGACTCTTACTGTTCAGTCTGTAAAAATTCTCTACCTGGCAAGTTCATAAACATAAAAGAAACAGAAACAACTTAGCAGTGTTGGTCTACTGTTACAGAGATGATTTCCAAGTATACACATTCTATTGTGTTAAAATCTCTCATTTGATAAATGGTACTAAATAATATGTAAATAAATGAATAATGATATTCTTTGTAAATTGGGACATAGATGAATGGATTAAAAGAAGAATGAATGCAAGAAAGAAGTATTAAAGCTATATATGTGTGTATATATACATATACACACACACATATATATATACATATATGATAGATAGCTGATGATACATCATTCATAGATAAAGAACAACATGAACAAATAAAATAAGCAAACAAAATTCTCTTAAAAACCTGGTGGTGTGGAGGGTTTGGAGGCTAGGGAAATCCTGTTCCATCATGATTAATACAAGGGAAGCAAAGAAATCTTGAAATAGTGCTCCAGGCATTTGATGTTATAGAGGCCTTGGCCCCCAGACACACTGCCCATGCAAGATGGTGATGATTGATGATGGTTATGATTGATGATGATGATGGTGATGATGATGGTGGTGGTGGTGGTGATCATGATGATGATGATGGCAGTGTGGTGGTGATTGTGGTACCATTAATTAGTAATGATCATTTTCCTTTCGACATTTTAGACTGAGGGAGTTCTTGACTAAAATTACTCACTCCCATGAGTGAGAAAACATGTTGTGACCTCAATGGCTTTCTCGGGCTTTGCAGAAAGTTGTGTGTCACATACTGTCAGCTTAACTTTGATTAAAGGTATTTTGTTTCAAGTAAATTTGGTGCTGGAAGTCAGGGACCGTCTTCTGCCACAAAGAAAAGGAAGAGAACTTTGTCCCTGTCATCTAATGGTCTATTGTCCTTAAAGTTCAGCTCTAAGCCACAAAACCGAAGCAGAGAAAACATACATCAATATAGGAGTCAAACAGGAATTAGCCTGGGCAAATTATGAGTCAGAGAGAAGGCATGGTGAAGTTACTGAAGTGCTTGGAGCCTGTTGATTTTATTCTTGAGCCGAAGCTGGCGGTGTGCAGGGTCTATGTAGTAAGAACCATGTGGTTATTGTACCTAAGAACAATTTGAGAGTAAGATGGCTGGAGTGTGCTTGCTGCTGGGCTGTAAAATCGTGCATTTGAGGGTATCCTTGGAGAGCAGTGGGACATGGTTAGAAGTGGGTGGCCATTCTGTTGGAGTTTTTAATCTATTTTAATCAATAATTCCACTTTTGAATCCTCTTTTTTTCAATGTCCCATTTATTTTAGCTGAATGTGGAGCAAGTGCCAAAGGAAATGAAGGAACATTACTCTCTCCAAATTTCCCATCCAATTATGATAATAACCACGAGTGTATCTATAAAATAGAAACAGAAGCCGGAAAGGGGATCCATCTGAGAGCCCGAACCTTCCAGCTCTTCGAAGGAGACACTCTAAAGGTAAAGTTCTCTGTAGGCTGAACTGAGGCTCTTCTTCTCAGGGAATCTATCACCAGCCTATCTAGCATCCGTTATCTGATGACTATCATCCATCTATTTTCTTGTCTATGTGTCTATTTGTGTCTATGTCTATCATCTATCCACTATCCGTCTGTTTACTATTTATCACTGTCTCTTTTATCTCTATGTCTTTGTATCTATCTGCATTTGTCTGTCTATTATCTACATTCTGTCTGTCTGTGAATGATGTATGTATCAGCGAGTTATCATATATGCACATATACTAACTCTTGTATTGATCAATCTATTTGTTTATGTGCCAGTTTATATAAAATGTTAATATACATTTGTTTGCATGTTATTTAGTCTTATTTATCAATTGAAAGACTATAACACAGTAGAATATGTAGATTTGGAAATCATCTCTGTAACAGTAGACCAACACTAGGTCATTTTTCTTGGGATGATTATTAACTCAACACTTAACTTCCTTGTGTGTGGGAGTGTGCAATGACTCTGACTTTTCTGGCTTTCCCAGGGTTATTATAAAAAAATCAATAATAATAACAATAGTAATAATAATAACTAACAAAGCCCATCCACTCTTTTACCTGGTGATGTTTATTTGTCAAATGTGCTCACTACACTTAGATTAGGTAGGATCTAGTATAGTGAAGAAAGCAGCCCAGCCTCTGTCTGTAAACATGACACTGTGTGAGCAAGAATCTCACCATAGAACAGTGAGATTCCAGGAATTATCTGACCAGAGGCCAGTTCTAGCAGAAATATCCTTAAAGCTAATATTTCTCAAGTAACTCCTTCATTACCTGTAACTGTTTAAAAAAATTGAAGATCTTCAAGGACCTAGGCAAAAAAGGCAGACATTGGTAGACTTTACCCCATGACTGTGAAAAAAAAAAAAGGTTTTGAGAAAAAAAATGCACACGCCATGGAGTTCACCCCTGCTCCTTCCAGAGAGAAGGGGGCAATTTTCCAGGTCACAGGGCTGATTTGTGTCAATGAAACACGATGTTGATATTCTCAGATCCTTTCCAAAGTTCCAGAATTTGTGAGTTAGACACAGCCTCATGAGCACAGCAAGTGAGCCTCTCAGTTGCTGTGGCTTCTGACTCACGTTAGAGGACTGAGTCACTTCTGAGAACAGAATGGCCACCTCCCTGCCAGCATCCTTGCACCTGGGGCTGAATGCACCCCTCTGTGCTTCCACTCAACCTCACAAAAAGTGTCATGTGTGGGTCAGAGACTTCTATATATTAACTGGTCTTACATCCTCCCATGCCCAAGAGGGCCTTTTTTTCAATGCCATAATTTAATAGAGTCGCTTTTTTTTCCTTGTAATTCTTTCATTTCTATACACTTTCATGCTCTCCTGCTGACATCTTGAAGGGCTATCATTAAGCCAAGAAACTAGCAGTCTTGCTAAAGTAAAAGTTAGGGTGCAAGTAAGAAATTTCTGGACTCTTTGATAACCTTAAATTTAGAAGTCAGTATGCCTTTGGATAAGCTTTTAGGTAAAGCTTAAATACATTCTGTGTATGGGTGGTTAGAAACAGAGTGAAATGCATGATTGGAGCACAGGCAAAGAAATCATATCAATTTTGAAACTTTTTCATTGTAAATAAGTAAGTAAATAAGTGAAAAGGGAGGGGAGGAGGAGAGGGGAGGGGAGGAGTAGGAGAGGGGAGAAGAAGAAGGAAGACGAGGAGGAGGAGGAGGGAAGTGGTAGGAGAGGAGAGAGGGAGGAGAAGGAGAAGGAAGGAGGAGGAAGAGGAGGAGGGGGAGGGGGAGGAGAGGGAAGGGGAGAGGGAGAAGAAGGATTAGAAGAAAAAGGAGGAGGAGGAGGAGGAGGAGGAGGAGGAGGAGGAGGAGGAAGAGGAGGAAACAATCTTGCTTATCACATTAATTTGCAGGGAAATTGCCCAGGCTTTAAAATGCCGATGCATTTTTCTTACACTTCATTGAAGTTTATAATAAATACTTCAGGTTTAAATAATATGTTTCAAATTAAATCACTTATGGGGGGGCACAGGCTATTCGCACCCACTCTTCACACCGCTGTGACTTAGCAGAAAGGACTTTGATTTGATTTGTACATTCACAGGCATACACAGTGTGAATAGAGGACAGAGCTCAGTGATCATGTAAGCTCTATGCAAGGAAGTGGGTAACTCAAAAAGAGCTCCAGGGCTCGGCTCTGTAGGGCTCGGCTCTGTAGGGCTCGGCTCTGTAAGCTGGAAAAGGCTCCAGGAGACTGCTCAGCTATGACTCCAGATATCACATAATGTGTTGTGACCTACGGGCTACATTTCTATGGGCCTAAGAAACAATTAAATGCCAAGATTGAGGTAAGGAGTTCCAGTTGCTTCACAGATCCTTAGACCATGTGGAACATGAGGCTTCTAGATACTTTTCATGACAGGCTTGTGAGTCTACTGGTGATGGCTGAGGGACTCCGGCTATTGGATGCCCTGACCATTAGCATAGCCCATCTTTATTTTTCACTGTGAGTAAAGGCAACTTTGAACTCAAATTTTCACTCTGCAATCAAAAAGCCCTGGCTGCTCACTGATAGCCAGCTTCATGCTCATTATCTGAGTGGTCATTCAAGGATGTTCCCTGCTGGACACAGAGTACCCAGATCTAGTGACATGAATGTAGTTGAATGGATTACTGTCCAGAGAATGGTGAGGTTTACACAAGTTTTTTGTTTTGTTTTGTTTTGTTTTTAATTCTTGATGATATAACTAGGAGGACACTGTGATCAAATTACTGCCTGTGAATCCTCTAAGAGTTTGTCAAAGGACTCCATCCTGCCCCTCATAAACAGGGACTCAGTGCCACGCAATAAGCTCATCTGTGTCGACTTCAATCTCTGCCACCACACCTCTCCAGCATCCTCATACATAGAAAACAAGCCTGGTGTTTGGGGTGACCCAGGAGCTTTCAGAGGACTTGGACATAGAACCTATTATTATTTTGAGTGTAGAAACTCTTCTTACGTCTGGTAGTGCCACATATAAAGCAATGCTTGTTCTTAGAACAATAGCTTATGATCATAGCCTTTCAGTAAGGAAATGGTATTGAACTTTACAGTTTAAGTATTTGTGTATTTAATTGCAATGAAATAAAACAACTTATTTTTCTGTATTCATTTTCTTTTTGTGAGTACGTAAAAACAGCTGGGCTGTTGAGCTACATAGGGTTTATGCAATGATGGGAGGGAGATGATAGTGAGGGACTCTCGGTAAGACAGATCTCCTCAGGCAGATGTATAGGAAAAGGGACCACAGGTAAATGATACATCTGAGAGGCAGACATATAGGAAAAAGGACCATGAGTAAACGAGAAACATAAGAACCTTCCAGCTTCTTTTTCACCCTTGTAACCTAGGATAAAGATCGAGCAAGCCTTCTATTTTACCAGGAAGGCTCTCATTCCAACTGACTGGTCCAGACTAGTTATATATGTTCAAGAATTGCCTAGGCATGTTTAACTGAAGCTGTGGGCCTATCAACTCCCATTCATTTGTCTTAACTGACCAATGCCAAAGAAGGGGCAGGAGACCTATCCCAGGCCTCTAGAAACACTTAATCCACAACCCTAAAGGAAAATTGATTTTGATTTCTAGATTCTTTTTCCACTTTGTGGGGAGTCCCTGTGTGTCTCTGTCTGTCTGTCTATCTCTGTATCTCTATGTGTCTATGTCTGTGTGTCTGTCTCTCCTTTCCTATGTATTTGTGTGTGCTTCACTTTTAATAAATCATATTCCCTGCTTCTCTGTTGCATTTCAGTTTTGTTTTTTCTACCTTTAAATTGTACAGTTGGTGATACATAAACCTGACCAAAGCCTCTAGGTCATGATCTGGAAAAAAAAATGGGACCAGGAATCTTTTGTGTGTGGTGTTAATGGGAAAGGTAAAATGGAAAGAATTAGATGACATAGCTCCATCATCCACCTGTACTTATGTAAACTGAGTTTCAAGTTTTGAAGGACACCACATTCAAAGTGGAGGAATGGCTTGTTAAAAACCGTTGCCTAATAACAGGGCTTTAAAAAATTGGGGACTCACTCTGCCTCCTTCCATTAGGTTTACGATGGAAAGGACAGCTCCTCAAGGTCACTGGGTGTCTTCACGAGAAGCGAATTGATGGGTCTGGTGCTAAACAGCACCTCCAACCACCTGAGGCTGGAGTTCAACACCAACGGGTCAGACACTGCCCAAGGCTTCCAGCTCACCTACACCAGTGAGTAGCCCGTGGCCAACCACACACTTTAACTTGGTTGTCTGACTAGGACACATCTACTACTTAGCCTTACAGTTTATATGATGGATTTCTTTGCTGGCTGTACCATTTAATTATCTCTATTTGTTTTAATTATCTCTATTGTTGAGCAGGAAGTAACAGAGGCAATAGTTTTATATTGATCTACATAGAAGACTTCCCAGTTTGGTAATAGATCAGCTTGGTCTGAAAAGGAAACATCTTGTGACATTTAGAGGCAGACTGGGTATACGGATGCAGATTTTTGTGTAGTGAATATGCTCAAAACTTGAACATGCATGTGAAAGATGTAGAGTGAATATTTGATATAATTACCATAATCCTTGATTATGTTGTATACATATACATTTATAACCATATACATATAAGCACATATATAAATATATAATAACTGAACGTATTAAAGATTTACAGAGTATATATTATAATATATAGTCACAGTGAACACCACAGTGTTGGATTATGATAACAAATCTCTTTAGGTGAATCTTACTTAAAACTCTCACTGTGAGAACAATCCTTGGGATCTCTTGCAAATCCTCTGTGAGTATGCTGACAGGTGGAGCAGTTGCCTAATCTTTGAATGACTGATATAAGGTATATATGCACATTTGTATGAATATTCTCTTTTGTTGGTTTATTATGTTTATTTATGTGTATGAATGTGTGCCTATCTGAGTTTATGAGTACCATGTAAGTGCAGAAACCAGAGGGTGTTAGATTCCCTGAAACCAAAGTTGTAGGTGGTTCTGAGTCACCTGATGTTGGTGATTGGAACTGAACACAAGTCCTTTGTATAAGCAGTATGCACAAAAAACTGCAGAGCCATCTCAGCAGCACTGCGTGCATGTTCACATGTGTATATAATCATATAATCAACCCATATGAGCACAAACATCAATTATGCAAGTGGGAGTTGTGACCATCAAGGACATGGATACCTCCTGCTTTGCAGCATTAGAGGAAACTGATAAACTAAGATGCTGAACAGATCTAAAGCAACTCAAATTTTCATTGACCTGATAGTTTGGGGCTTTGTGATATTGACACTGAGCCCTGGGAATCCTGAAATTTTCATATTTTATCATGGAAGCCCATGAGAGCTTGTTAGAACTGACACCTGTTCCAAGGATAAGCATATGAGGGACAATGACTCTCACAATTCACAGCTGGTATTCTAAGCTAATACAGGTGTCTAGCGGGAAGACAAACCACCTCAGACCCTCCAGTGTAGATAACATCACAATTAAAGCCTTGAGCTTTGGACAAAAGAGAAGTTAGTGACCAATTTTATGAGAATGTCATTGTTTTCTGTTTGTGAATAACTCTGTTGAAATAACTATATATATATAGTAAGGTTTATTAACTAATTCACATGTGTAGTAAGTCACAGTGAATATCATAGTGTTGAATTGTGATTACAAATCTCTTTATGTGAATCCTACTTAAAACTCTCACTGTGAGAACACTCCTTGGGAGCTCTTGCAAAGCCCCGTGTCTGTATGTGCATAGGTGGGGCACTTGTAAGTGATCCTTTTCCACCTCACATTCTCCATGCTTGAGTTGGATGGCTTTGGTTTTCTTCTTGTATGTCTTAATCTCCACTTGCTAGGTCCTCATCTTGGAGGAACACAAGTTTGATTGTGAAAAACTTTTAGGACAATCTTTCAGTAGTGTTCTGAGAGTAGTATATAAAGACAACATGCCCACACTTGGCTAGGTGGCCCTTTTGGGTTTTTTTGAACCAAAATGAACACCTCTTTGGTACCTTTTCTCACCAGCCACGTCTCCTGTCATGATTCTTTATTGAAGAACAGGAAACGTTCACCTGAGTGGCACCCACTTTTCTCTTACATACTCCTCTCAGCTGACAAATGTCTAAGCTTCCAACGTCCTCTCTCAAGGCTGTCCTAAGAAAGGCATGGAGCCTGACTTATAGTGTTCCATTGCTTCCCAACATTGGGAACTGCTTCCAGTTTCCAGATGGTGTGACTATTTATCTATGGGCATCCAGTTATGTGTTCTCATGGGTGCATGTGAGATACCTGGATTCACCCATGCTGGAACCTCAAGTGCCTGCTGTGAGAGAAAGAGGACATCACAAACCATTTCTAGCCATTTGATATCACCTTCATTTTTCAAACAGCATTTAGGAGGTGATAGAGCCTATAGAGTGTTGGCTTGTGTTTGTGGTGACTACCATCATCATTAACAAGGCTTGTGCAATGTGATCTTTCCAGCTGACACCTACCCAGTTAGATAATACAGCTCTAGGTTCATCTTTGACATGAGCCCAGCTAAGGACCTTTGACTTTTGCTCTATTGATGATCTTTCTGAAATCATCAATCCATAGACTACTTGTTTTTGAGCACCATGAAATTGTAGGACCTGTGTTTCATTATATAGAATATCAGACATTCCATGAAAACAACAAAAGAATACAGACAACACGTGATCCTGGATACTCAGTTTTATCTGGAAAGAGGACTGACCTCTCCCCATTTACCCACAGTTACACTTCCTTGTTACTATCTGCAAAAGCCCAAGCTTGGAAGTTTTGTTTAGACAACTGTCTCAGAACCTGGTCATACTGTCATATGGAAATGATAGTGGTAATATAGACGGGATGGTGACAATGGCTGTGTAATCAAAATAGCATTGATTTCGCAATAAGACCCTGGATTTACAGAGTCAATAATTAGATTTTAGAAACCCCAAGCTCCCACAACACAACCCAATATCCATCCCTGAAGCAAGGCTCACAAGTGATCTTCACTGCCTTCAGTAGACACACAAGCAGCTCTTGCTAGGTCTGCACTGCTTGAGGAAACACCAGGAGACAAAGGTTTGGGATCCATTAATGTACACACATGGGTAGATTTTACTCCTCACAGAGGGTGAATATGGAGTTCAGCATACACAAGAAAGTGCTGAGAAATAGACATAGTATTTGGGTATCCTTTAAAAAAGGTTGTGCAGTTCTTTACTTTGAGTCTCGGGTCTTGCTAAAACACTATTTTTTTCAATAAATTAGAACATTTCTCAAGATATTAAAAAAACATTCTGAAGTTTCACACAAGGAATGATATGATGGTGCTTCAAACCTCAGCTGTGACTGAATCTAAGAGCTGCTGGCATACTTATCTACAAACATTTACACCACTGCACTTAAAAAAAGAAAATGTGTTCACATGCTGATATCAATAAAATAAAGGCAGTGGCCAAGAAGATAGAGAAAAGGTCAAGCTTGGATCAATTTGTAATAGATATGTAAATTAGTCATCTGTTAAGGACTTCCTATTTGTAGAGAGAACATTTTGTGTATTGCATGGATGCATCACCTGTCAATTAAAAAGCCTATGGTCTATGGCTTAGACAGAAAATCAAAGGTGAAACATGGGAGGAGAAAGAATTCTGGGAGAGAAGTTCACAGGGAGATTCTGTGGAAAGGTGTGACCAGATGGATGCATGATACCTGAGATAGTAGAGATAACCAGCCATATGGTAGAATGTGGGCTAGAATAAATGGAATATTTTAAGTTATATCTAGTCGTAGAGGAGTCAAGCTATATGGCCAAAGTATTTGCAAATACATTTTGAGTCTAAGTTTTATTTCTGGAAGCATGGGGATGGAAGAAAGAATCTAGGCCACACTTTAACAACTATGGTTTAGGGAGTAACCAAAGAAACCAAAGTAACACTTCCAAGTAAACCTGCATCAAAAACACTGCTTCAACACTCAGATATGCCCTGGACTGACAGATGACATACTCCCATAATGTCACCATGTCTTGGATCTATTTCTCATAGTCTCTTTTAGACCAGGAACAACAGTGTCCAATTTGTGTCCTTCTGCACATTACAGGGATGACCTATCTGCCATGACCTGCACAGCTTTGTCATTGACCTCACTGGGGCAAAACAAGATGATGAAAGACACACAGACACATAAAGAAAAGCTGGGACTGTGTAGGTCATGTGCTCCGATGGAGTTGCACAAGCAGCAGCATAAAAACTCATTGTGTTTATACCTCTGAATAGAGGGAGTATGTTTGTTGTAAACAGTTGAAAGAGGAGGCAGGTGCATATCCAGGAGGAAGAAGTGACAGGCTATACTTCTTGTGCACAGTCAACATCCACACATGGACCAGGGGTTGGCTTTGCCATTTCCCTCAATCTGAGGTACTCAAGTGCTTGACACATCTGAACCCATATCAACAACATCCATTTACTCAGGACTTATCTATTTGGCACAGTGTTCTGAAAGGTGACACAGAATGATTCTTTCCTCACATCCAGGTTGTCCTCATGCAGACACAGTGATGAAGCACGAAAAAACCAAGCCGTTCTACTTACCTTCTCAAAACCTTGCAGAGTTGTCTAAGAGAGAGAATATTGTCAGAAGTTTGAACTGTGACAAGGAACTTGCCACGGGCATTAGGTTTGGCTGTGTGATGTACCCAAAGGACATTCTTGTTTGATGACAGATAAAAACAGTTGGACATTAGGCGCTTATCCTTTCCATACCTACAGTGCATTGTCAGAGAGGACCTACACAGGAGGACTTGGCTTTATGATGAACTTGAGGCCCTGACTTGGCCTTTTCCAGAGCTGATTTAGGGGATAGTCTCCCTGTATTCTAGCATTAGACATGATACTAACAGCAGGAGAAGTTACTATTCACCAAGAGCCTGCACTGCTATTTTCTATGTGCCTCAACTATGTTGCTCAGCTTAGCAACTCTGTGACAAAACACTGGAGAGCAACAGTTAAAGATCAAAGGTGGCCGGGCGGTGGTGGCGCACGTCTTTAATCCCAGCACTTGGGAGGCAGAGGCAGGCTGATTTCTGAGTTCGAGGCCAGCCTGGTCTACAGAGTGAGTTCCAGGACACCCAGGGCTATACAGAGAAACCCTGTCTCAAAAAACCAAAAAAAAAAAAAAAAAAATCAAAGGTGATTT